GATAGTCCCCCTTTTACGCATGCACAGCAAGATACCTCGCCACACGCTCCAGCGCAAGGCCACCGACGCCCACACCGAGGATCGCCAGCGTCCAGGGGTTGGACGCTTCCTTGGCGCTCGGCCAGAAGCTGTTCTTGGTGCGCTTGTACTCGGCCAGCTCCTGCGCCTTGGCCGTGTTGGCGTACTTGGCCTCTTGGTGCGCTTCGAGCTGGGCGTCGCCGCCGACGTAGCGCAAGAAGGCGTAGTTGGCCACCGGGCCGAGCAGGACGAGAGGGTGCAGCTTGCCGGAGCCCCAGAGGAAGAGAGGGAAGGAGAGGTGGACGAGCGCATCGCCGAGGTAGCTTGAAGGGTTGCGCGCGCGCGTCAGTCATGGATGCACAATGGCAGGCAGCACGGAAGCCAGCCGAGTTGGAGCGTTGGGAGAGATGGCTTACTTGGGGTGGCGCACGATGCTCCAGACACCTTCGCGGTTCAGAGTGTTGGGGCTCTTCTTGTTGTGCTGCGTGAGCTGGTAGTCGGCGACGACTTCGAGGGCAAAGCCGCAGGTAAAGACAAGCACAGCCAGGTCGTGCGCGTATTCGATCGGTGCGGACAAGGACGAGCGAGCACTACAAAACATGCTGGTCAGCGAGACGGGAATGGGAAATGCATCTCCTGCCAAAGCAGCCATGGAATAACACGCACCTAGCATATGGGTTGCGGAAAGGCAGGGTAAACGGCAGCGAAACAATGGTCTGCACGACAGCCTCTGGCAAGAACATCTTGAAGAAGGCCTTGTTCCAGAAGCCGGGCTCCGCCTTCTCGGACAGATAGCGAGCATCGTCGTCCTTGGACTGCACAGAGCGCGAGACAATGCGGTACAACAGGCGGGCTCCCCAGGCCGTCACGGCAGCCAGCAGGACTTGATCAGGGTAGGTCAGCGACGAGAGAGCAGCACCGATGGGGACTCCGTCGTGCACAAGGCGCGTGCCAACAGCGCTCCACCAGGCACTGGCAACCTGGGCCGAGGGCCACAGCCAGTCCTTGCCGTCGACGCGGTTGGCAACGCGCGATGCCGTGTAGGCGACCACAGACAAGCCCGTGTGCAGGCCCAGCGACGGCAGAATGGTGTGCTTCAGCAGGCCGACGGTGGTGGCCTCGTAGGGAATGCTGTAGGCGCGCGGGCCCAGGTGGCTGCCGTAGACGTCCTGCTCGGCCGCGCCGCCCACGGGCCGGCGCACGGGAATGCCAATTGCTTCCGTGGCCGGGTTGTCGGCCTCGCCCCGGCTCCAGTGCGAGGCGTAGCGGTCCTGCTCGGCCCCCGACGAGCTCCAGACGGGAATCTTGACGCCGCTGGCCTCTGGGTTGCGGGCCTCGGAAGGATCCCAGTGGGCCGCATAGCGGTCCTGCTCGGCGCCCGAGGCAGTGGGCATGCGGAAGCTGGCGCCCTCGGCCTCGCGGTTGCGCGGGGCTGCGCGGCTCAGATGGGCGGCCCAGCGGTCCTGCTCGGCGCCCGAGGCGGTGGGCACTGGGATGGGGATCTCGCGGTTGGTGGTGCCAGAGCTGAAGTGGCCTCCAAGGCGGTCCTGCTCGGCGCCCGAGCCGCGAGGAACGGGAATGGGAACGGACTGGGTGGTTGGGTTGGTGGGATGCGACCCAAAGTGCGACGCATAGCGGTCCTGTTCAGCCATGGCGGACGGCTGCGTGGAGAGACTGGCGATGCGGTGGTGCGGTGGTGGTGCGCGTGCAGAAGTGAAGTGTGAAGCGGTAGCACAGAGAGCCAGGTCGAGCACGGCCACGCTGCTCCCTTTATGAAGGAAACATGAGCTGACCACAGCTTGGCCCCGTGGCTGGAGCTACCTGGGATGGGACATCTGGAGGTCCATCTTGCTTCCTCGGCTGGACGGGACGGCAGCACAAGTGACGTGCTGTGCGCTACGTCGGGACCAAGGTACTGCAATACATGTGGCTTGGGCCTGGCTGATGACATCACAATGACCTCGGCACTGCTCGATGCCACCACTGCAGCAGATCTCGGCTGACGGCGTGGTGCGAGAGTTTGCGAGTGAACATGCTGCGAGCCAGCCCCGCATGGAGGTTTCGCCCGGTGCGATTTGCAGTCGTCGACTGTGACGGCGCTGCGCCGGTGGCTGGCTGGCTGGGTTGCAGCCGTCGACATCTCACATGAGAGAGAGAGAGAGATCCCAAAGTACTTGGTACTTGAGCACCTGGCAGGCTCAGCCGTGTAAGTCGAGTCGTGTGGGCTGGGCCGAGGCAGCCAATCAGCGTTGCTGGCTCTGGCAGTCACGCACGTAAACACTTGGGTACCTGGATACCTGTGCACTTGGGTACTTGGGCACCTGGGTACTTGGCTTGTACTTCCACGTCTGCAGTCAGAGCAGTTCGACTCAACTACAATTCGGAGCAACCAATTGATTTAGTGCATCAAGATCTCGTTGTCTGTCCTGTGCCAGACTTATAGTTCTGGTAAGATAAAAAGTTAGAGTTTTGCTCCTTGGCTGCTAATGGTCCCACGAGCATGATAGCCGAGTGCCTACATCGTGTCGTGTCCATGTACCCGCGCGGGTTAGGGTTGCACGCCCCCCCCCCGGCGATATGTGGTTGCCCCTGGCGCCGCATTCCGGCCGTTGCGTGGCCGCGAGGCTGCTTGCTCCCTTGGCCAACAGCGCCTCGCGACTCAGCAACCACATCGACTTACTCCCACAAGACCTCCACGCCCAGCCATTCTGCTCTCTAACCACAGTCTCGTGTCTTCTGCCACCGTCATCATCACCACCAGCACCGCACCACCGCATTGAACGAACGGCCGGCTTGCATTGCCACGCGACGCGATCTGCCAGCCAAACAAAGGCTCCCCCCCCCTCCTCCAGCATGGCCGGCCAGCGCTCCTCGTCCGACGAGGACCGCAAACTCGAGGCCGGCGTCTCCCACAGCCAGGCCCCGGACCCGGCTCCAGCCTCATCCTCCGGAGGCGGGCTCCATCCGGCCTTCTACATTGCGCTGTGGATCACGCTGAGCTCCAGCATCATCATCTTCAACAAATGGATCCTGACCACGGCCAAGTTTGGTAGGCCCTGTCCTGCTGGTGGTGTGCTCCTTGTGCTGACCAGGAACCTCTTGCTGACCTCGCTGCTCTTCTTTTCTCGGATGTCCAGACTTTCGTGCGTATACTCCCTCGATACCGCGGCTTCCTCCCACCGTACCAAACCTCCCGACAGCCAGACACACAGCCACTGACACTCGCCAACAGCCCTCTTCTTGACCACATGGCACCAGGTCTTTGGCACCATCATGACCCAGTGCATGGCCCGCTTCACCAAGACCCTCGACTCGCGCCATAGGGTTCCCATGACCAAGGAGACATATCTGTGCGTACCGTGGAAAAAACACAGCAATACGGGGGTGCAAGATGGGAGATATTGACAGCGTGTTCGTTGCAGGCGAGCGATCGTGCCAATTGGTCTGATGTTCAGTCTGACGCTGATCTCTGGCAACCTGGCGTACTTGACTCTGAGCGTCTCGTTCATCCAGATGCTAAAGGTAAGCCTGTGTGCTCGACGAGGATCCGCCATGTGCCACCGCTAACACAGTGCAGGCCACCACGGCTGTTGCCGTCCTTCTCGCAACCTGGGCCTTTGCTATTGCACCGCCCAACATGAAGGTTCTGGGAAACATCTCCATCATCGTCGTTGGCGTGGTGATTGCTTCCCTCGGCGAAATCAAGTTCGAGATCTGGGGCTTCGTCTACCAGATTGGCGGCATTGTCACCGAGGCTCTGCGTCTGGTCATGGTCCAGCGCCTGCTGAGCTCGGGCGACTTCAAGATGGACCCTCTGGTGTCCTTGTACTACTACGCCCCTGCCTGCGCTGTCATCAACACAGTCTTCACCCTCTTTATCGAAGGACCGCGCATTACCATGGCCAGTGTCCAGTCGCTCGGCTTTGGGGTGCTGCTCGCCAACGGCCTCGTGGCATTCTTCTTGAACGTGTCGTCTGTGCTTTTGGTACGAAATGCCCTTTTTGCCACGTGCTTGCTTGTTTGCCGACTGACATGTCGTGATCCTAGATTGGCCAAACTTCTGCCGTGGTTCTCACCATGTCTGGCATTCTCAAGGATATTCTCCTCGTCTTTGCATCCATGCTCATCTTCCACGATCCCGTCACGGGCCAGCAATTCTTTGGCTATTCCATCGCCCTCGCCGGCCTGGTCTACTACAAGCTCGGCGCCGACAAGATGCAGTCGCTCGCCACTGATGCCCGCCTGCACTTCAACGACTTTCGCCAAAAGAACCCCGCCAGGACCAAGGTGTTGGGAATCGCCGGCCTCTTCCTCATTGTCCTGTCGGCATTTTGGATGTGGGGTCCCCTTTCTACAGACCGTGCTGCCCAATACGTAAGGGACGTATCTAGCTAAGCAGCTTGAGAAGATGGGTTCGAAGTTGGTTTTTTTCTTCTCCACCGCACCTTTTGCTACCGTCACTTTGATGCCGTGCGAGCAAGTCTCTGGGCTTTCTTTTTTTTTTTGTCCCTCTTTCCTTTTCCGCATTGCCATGTGCATGTACAATAGCTATGCTATAGACGGAGTAAGTGGGTGTTGGCCCATGCTCGTTTAAACTTGTTCGAATCAGGTGTTTGAACCACCATCGTGTTCTTTTCGATGCTCTTGACCCTTCGGTTCTATCCTTTCCCTCTTGGGTTCTGTGTCGTCTGTGCTTGTCTTTCTGTTGAAAATGTCCAACGACTGGTTGCATTGTCAAAATCTTGTCAAAATCCACTTGACCACTTACAACGATTTCCTCACCAATGTGGGTTTCGACTTGCAAAGATCTGCGTCCTCTGCTCACCCAGCATCAAACTTCTCAAAAGAGGCCCGTCCATTCCTCACCGTCGGACCGTCCTAACCCATCCATCTTGTCTCGGCCCCAGCCAAGTACAAGAGTCTTTATAGTTTCCAACGTTGGAGCGAGACAGCATCCTAATCACAAGCTGATGACAAAGAAAGCCTGCGTGGCTCAGTTGGTTAGAGCGTTGGTCTCATAGAAACAATTTGTATGACTCGACAGTCCACTGTCGGGTATCTCCAATGCAAGAATCCACAAATCCAAAGGTCGGGAGTTCGAGTCTCCCCGCGGGCAATGTCTTGGTATCTTTTTGGTGTCAATTCTTTTTCCTTCTTTTTCTCTCTTGATTTTCACTTTCATGTCAGGCAGTTCTGGCTGTTGTGCTCTTTAGGCGGTGGGTGGATTTGTGCGATTTTGTTTGTTGTTTAGATAGTGGTAACAACACAACACCAGGGTTTGTCATGGAGATGTGCGAGCGATCGTAAAGATCAAGGCGGAGTTCAACTTGTTGCCCTCCTTTTTTTCTTCTTTTTTTGGAGTCTTTTTTCCACATGCTGGGAAATGTTTTGTCATGGAGTGCTGAGGCTATATATAGATTGTTCGTTGTTGGTATGGTATGTTGATGCTGCTCATTACGCGGGCTTTGCAGCGATTGTGAAAGGGTCTTTGGTTGGCATGGACGTCTAAGGAAAAGGACATCTTGCATTTCGTGCATGGATAGGATCAGATAGTACCATGAGATTTTGTAGGTAGTCATCGCAAGCGCAAGTGCAGGAGCTTTATTCTCTCCTCGTTGTTCATGGGTCCCGACTCCACTGTCGTCACGTTTCTGGGTGCCCAAATAGAGAATGTTTGATCTGGCCACGACGCCGTGTTGTCTGCTAGTCGTCGATGATGTTAAAAGGAGGAGGCAAGAGAAGGAGGGAAACGAAAGAGGAGATGAGCGCTTTCAGGAGCGAGTCCCAGCACCACGCAGACAGACACAAGCCGATGTACTTACAAAAATACAATAGGCGTCACACCAGCCTACTTCTGTTGGCTGGCGAGAGAGAAACTCTCCTACTACCTCAGCGTCACAATGCGCAACGACACCGACACGGCCGCGAAGAGGGCCGAGGTGGACGCCAGTTTCCCTGGATGAGAAACGTATTTGGCTGTAAACAACGTGACGGTGTACAATGCGACGATAGCGGGGCTTGACAGGCTTCTCGGTGGTGGTGGAGGTGTTCGTTCTGGTTCTGGCGGCGGTGGTGCTGGAAACGGAGCAGGGCAAGAAGGCGGTGGTGTATTTGCATGGTGCGTTTTTGTTGTGTGTGCGTCTGTGGTTGCGGATGGCTCCCTCTTGTGCTTTTCTCCCTTTGTCCTTGACGACTCTCGTCATTCAGCTTTTACCTCCTTCACTCTCTTCTCTCTCGGAATATTTGAAGAAAACAAGTAGAGTGACAAGACGGGGGTGATCGAGGGATTTCACTCATTTCAAAGAGACCAGTCAGATAAAATCTGGTTTGGATTGACTTGCCACTTTGCTCCTCTCTTCCATCTTCCCACAACTAGCAAAGAACTTTGACTGTATCCCCAGTTGTTTTTCTTCCTCTTCTTTCTTGTTGTCCTCATTCGTGAGATCATCACATGAATCAATCTCATGACAGAATGCCATAAATAGTGTTTGTTGCCAGGGTTATTCGAAATCTTTCCATCTAACAAGCCTTTGACGCCACCAATCCTCCTCCAAAAACGCCGATGTGGGTATATATATATCTCTCTCTCTCTCTCACACCCATAACCAATCTCCCTCCTTCCCGCCCCAAAAAAAGAAGAAGAAAAAAAAAGGAAAAAAAGATCAACTTCAGCAAGACCAAAATCCAGGAGTAGCCTATAATTCGAGATATCCAAATAATCAGGCCGGCCTCCCCAAGTATGCTGCATACCTGAGTGCTGGAATGTTCGAAGAATTCACAACAAGAAGACTGTCTTTTGTCAATCCCCAAAACGATTGTAGCTTGTCACGGGTCGGTTTATGCCGTAACCACCCGAAATAGACCTGCCGTAATTACAGCAGGCAAGGCAAAATGAATGAATGAATGAAAAGAGGACAAGCACAGTTGCCTCAATTATACCCCTTTACTCTGCAAGATCCGTCCTAGTTCCTTCAGAGGCACCGGCTTGGTGAGGAACAGGTCAATCCCACTTGCATAGGCTTCCTGCTGAGTCTGCGCCGACGCGAGGCCCGTCAGAGCAATGATGAGCGCCGGCTTGAGCTCATTTTCCTGCTCATATGCTCGGATAAGACGCGTTGCCTCAAGTCCGTCCATGACTGGCATGGAAATGTCTGTGAGTTTAATGAATCGCAGTCAGTATTTTTTCATGAGATGAAACAAAACGAGCCACGGCATGTGTGGGGATATTCACCCATGAATATGCAGCGGTAGTGAAGGGACCGTGCGACACAGAATTCTACCGCTTCCCGCCCGTTCGAGGCTTGCTCATACGACCGACTGAGCTTCTTCATATAGGAAGCGAGTATCTTAAGGTTGATCGCATTGTCATCAACGAGCAAGTATGAGCCAGGATCTGGTTCCCCGTTCTCCTTCTCTTTCCCCATCTCTTCCTGATCAATATCTTCCTCTTCGTGCTGCTTCGGTGAAGATTGCACAAGTTCCTTGCGCAAAGGTGGTCGAACACTCAAAGTGGCAGCTGCTCCGTTTCTGGGTACCCAATCAGCCAATGCAGGCCTTGGTACCGGTCCTCTGGTTGGCACAGACAGTGGTATAGAGGGCGCAGACCCTCCACGGCTCCTCGATGGTCGTTGACCCAAAGCAAGGATGGGCTCTTGTCCAGGTGTCGCAAACTCAAGAGGTGTCTTGGCTTCAGTGGGCGAGGCTGGCGCGAATACTGAATCGGTTGCCTCGGGGTTGCGGTACCGTCTCAACGTCAAAGCGAGAATCTTTGCCAGCTTCCGTGGGCCGACCCTGCTATAAAGTCAGAATACACATCAAGCCAGAATAGAGATAGGTAAAACAAAAAAACCAGGGGAACCACTCACGGCTGGGAGAAGCACTCAATAACGGACGAGCGTGCTGGAGGGTAACGCGCAGCAAGTTCGTGTGCGGTCAAGACACTGTCGCATGCGACAACGACGGGTGGCATCTTGTCCAATTTTGGAACTCGCGCAAGCGCCGCTTCCGCGCAGATGAAGAATGTCGGTGGATCGCTGTAGGCTTCGTCCGCAGGTACCGTACGCAGACCAAGGTAGCGCTGGCACATGGTTTGCAGGAGAAGCCTTGGACAAGGCCGTGGTTCCGTAGACGTGATCGCCAGGGGCTGATGCTCGCCAAAGTCTTCAGAGAACCCGATCAGGGAGACGGAGCAACCTTCAAACTCCTGCGTGAGGACTTCCAGGTCATCATTTGGATTGTAAGTCATGTCCGCAGATGACGACGTTGGATTCGATCGGCGTAGCGGAATGATGACCCTGACTGTTGTACCGTGGCGCACCCGGCTCTCAACAGCAACACGGCCTCCCAGTCCATGGACGATTTGCTTCACAATGCTGAGACCCAAGCCGGCCCCAGGCGAAAGTTGGTTCTCTTGCGCAAAAGGAGAATAGAGTCGGTTATGCAAGAAATCGCTGCTGATGCCTCGGCCAGAGTCTGAGACTGTCAGCACAATTGTTCTCCAACGGTTCTTCTTTTTCGTTGAGGTTGGCTCCTGTGTCAGCGATACCAAAATGCTACCCTGCGTGGTGAACTTCAACGCATTACCAAAGATGTTCATGATGACACGCCGCAGGGCGCCGGGCTGAGCGCGGAAGTCCCAAGCCACGTCGGGATCAATGCTAAGGTAGATGCCAACAGGGAAAGGAGAGGTCGGAGTAACGGAGCCGCTGCCACTGGATGTGTCCATCTGCCGAACCGATTCGAGCCGTCTCATGGTGCCTGCGTAGTCGAAATAAGAGGCACTCTTTTGCCTCTCGCGGTTTGCCCAGTCATTCGACGTCTTTTGAAAACTGTGACCGGCATACACGCTCTCGATGACTTCTTCCAATAGCAAGTCCAGTGTGACTTCGGAAAAGATGCTCATCATGCCAGCCTCAATGTTGCTGCGGCCAATGCCGTCCATTCCGACGCCGCGATTGTGTCCAAAGGTCCCACTACGTTTGGGCGTTCTCAGAAAGTTGTTAACTTTACTAAAGTCAAGTAGCTGATGAACAGTAACCCCGAGTCAGTTCTCATACAATTATTCAAAAAGTCCAAGCGACAGAAGCAAACTCACATGATCTAGTGTTTCGAGGAGCGTACGACCACATGTCTCGACCGTGTGCAGTACGTCCTCTTGAAAAGCCGTCAACATAGTATCGTGCATCAGCTCGACACCCAGAATCACGCCATGCAGCGGAGACCTGATCTCGTGGGACAAGGAGCCGAGGATATCCTCCTTGGCCTTATTCTCCCTAGACACTTCAAGACGCGCAATCTCGGCCATGGTGGAGGCGCCAAAAGCCATAAGATAGCTGATTTCACCTTCCACGGTAAATACTCGACTGGCCGCTTTGGTCCAAACGAAGCCGCCAGCATACCACCTCTCCTTGTGAGGATCCAGGACGGGAAATAAAGCGACACTTCGAGCTCCCGGAAACATTCTGATCAGAACTGCAGCATCGCTCCGTCGAGGACGTCTTGCTACTCGTGTAGGCAGCTTTGTTCCCGAAGAAGGTCCGGCATCTGTTGCTGTAGTTGTCTCGCTGCCCTCCGAGTCACTCACTGGCCAGATCACAGCACCTGAATCGTCAAAATTGAATACCTGTCCGCGAGGATAACGACGCAGGATCTTTTCCAGAAAGGTGTCCGGGATTGACGTGAAGGCGTTGGGCGCTGATTCGCCATTGACGGATGATGATTCCGAGCTAGAAAAACCGAGAATTTGACAGTATCTCATCCCCGTGGTACTATCATCAGTCATGATCGATTCGGCATCGCTGCTGCTGGCAGAGCCCTGCTGGCTCCTGGCTTGACTCGAGGCCCGTCTCTGAGTTTGAGGCACGAGGCCACCAAAGGACCCAATGGAAGCATCTAAAAAGAGGGAACCCTCAACCTCGATCGATTCTCGGATTATGTTGGCAGCACGAGAGAAGGTCGACTTGGGCGGTGCCATGCCAGCATCACTTGCTATTCCCTCTGAGTTGTGGACGCCAGAGTCTCGCGATTGAACCTTGTCGTCAGTGTCTGAGTCGATGCCGTCCGTGCTGTAATTGGCAGCACCTGGTCTAGAAGCTTCCTTTGTCGGTTCTTGATTGG